AGGGCGTGGCTCTGTGTGAAGGGAGCCTGGAGGTGATGCCAGTAGTCTCAGTGAGAGGTGATGAGGACCTGAGCCAGAGTGGCAGTTGTGTGAGGGGAAGATATGGTCAACAAGCATCTATTGTGTTCAGGTGTTTCATCATGTCCCACTCCTTGCGACCCCATTTGGGGTTTTCTTGGCAGAGAGACTGGAGTGTTTTGCCATTTCCTTCTCCAGCTCATTTTACAAATGAGGAAACTGAGGCAAGCAAGGTTAAGTGACTTGCCCAGGGTCACACAGTTAGTAAGTGTCTGAGGCCAGCTTTGAACCTAGGTCTTCTGACTCCAGGCTCAGGGCTCTATCCAGTGCACCACCTAAAAGCCCCTATTGGTTAATGCTTAATGCAACACACATAAACACTTGCTCTGTGCCAGGCACTCTGTTAAGTGTTGGGAATGTAAATACAAGTGAAAAAGACAGTCCCTGCCCTGAAGAACTCTAAACAAATCAGGGTGGAGCCCAGAAATGGAGCGACTGTAGCTGTCCTGAGCCCTTTCCTTCCAAGGAGATTTCAGGAAGAATTGGCAGATGAGAGCTAGGGGTCCGGGCAGTCATCTTCCGAGGCAAGGAGGCTCGTGGGTCACGATGGAGAGAGAAGGCTCGTGGATCACAATGGAGAACTGAGGGCAGGGGGCTGTGTTGTAAAGGCAGGAACAAGCCCTGTCTGCAGATTGGTTTTGTGGGTTGGCAGAGAAGAAGGAGCTGAGGTCGATGCTCAGGATGTGAGCCTGGGTGATGTAAACTCCAGACTTTGGGGAGCAGCCCGACGAAAGGGAACCAGATTAAAATGTATTTGGGAAATGTTTTAACAAGATAAATAAAAAATACAGCATAGATAGTGTTACTTTGTGGTTTTCTAGGTCAGTATGTAGCCCCAGGGACTGGTTTGGCACCTGTGGTCTTTGGTAATAGGAAACTGGTAAAGAAGGGCCTCGTATCCTTGGCCTCTAATGGAAACACAAGAAGGGAAGGCATGGAGTCAGACTGAAGCTCCTGAGCAAAATGGACTGCCTTGGGGAAGGAACGGCTCCCAGTCACTGCAGGTCTCCAAGGCGAAGTCAGGCGAGCCATTGCTGAGGATGCTGCAGAGGATGTGCCTGCTCACGTGTGGGCTGGGCTTCGTGCCCTCTGCAACTGCTCTTGTCTGTCCCTGAGATTCTGTGACTCTGGGGGGCTGCCCGCACACTTACTAGCCAGGAACACCATCATGGGTCCAAAGGGCCCCTTGTTCAAATGAAAATTCACCGCTGATGAAGCGCCTAATGTGTGCAGACCCCTGGCCTTGGGCACTAGGAGACATCAAATCTGGATGTGAATCTGTTCCTGGCCCCTCTGAGCTTCTGGTCCAGCCCACAAAGAGGTCCCCCACCCTCACTGGAGGGCAAAACATCATCCAGGCATCTGGGCAGTTGAATCAGGAATGAAGGACCTGGGAAGGCATGTGTGCAGGAGGAAGCTGGGTGACCATTTTCTGGGTCCAATCCCTTCTGGCCTTGCTGGGGTCCTCCATTGGCTGCTCAGCCCAGGCCTTGAGAGTGTGCCTTCAGGGTCACTGCCATGGGCAAATCAAGGGCGTCAGATGGTTTTGATGGACATGTGGATAAGAGACACACATCTTTGTGGGGAAAGAGCCGGTGAGACACTGTCGTTCTGCTGAATCAAGTGCTTTTCTGTGATCATCAAACAGTGAGCTAAAGACTGAGCTCCAAAGCTGTGGCCCCAGCAGCTGTCAGGGCCTCACCTTGCAAGGTTGCCATCCACCTACCCTGAATATGTCTGAGGCCAGCCAGGAGGCACGGTCATCTGGAGTCAGAAGCTTACAGGCTGTGTCACCATGTGCAGGCCACTTAACCACCGTCTGCCTTAGTTTCTTTATCTGTAAAATGGAAATAATAATAGCACCTTTCTCATTTTTGTGAGGATAAAGTGAAATAAAATTTGTAATGTACTTTACAACCCTTAAAGCAATAGCTAGCCACATAAATGCTACCTTTGTATCTTGTATGTGTAGTTATTTGCATGTTGTCTCTCCCTTGAGACTTTGTGTGAGCTTCTTGAGATCAAGGGCTTTTTTGGTTTTTTGTTTTGTTTTGTTTTGTTTTCTTTGCATCACCAGCACTTAGCAGAAGGAATGGCACATAGTAGATTGATCTGTGTTGATTGATAGATCTTGCATTCTCTATATCTTTTTAAAGATGTGGTCCATTGTTGAATATCACTGGTGAAAGTGCATTTGGTGTCTTCCTCTTCTTCAGATGCCTTGTATATTGGCCTTCAATGCATTCACAGTTGTGTTATCACCAGTGTAGATCTCCTCTGTATTATTCCCTCAGTCCATTCCCATCTTTGTTCTCTTTAGAGCCGTTTTCGTGTCCCCTGTAAGCATGTCCAGAGCTGTGGGGTCAGAGGCCAGGTGGGGGAGGTGGTTCCATTGACCTTTGTGGTGAAAACAATTGGTGATAATCATCTTTGCAGATCTTTTCCACTTTTCTTCTCTTTTTGTCCTTCCATATTCCTAAACATCTTTGGGATGATTTTGCTTAGTTGAATCTTTGATCAAGATTTCTTTGATTAAGATTTCTTTGAACTCATTCTTTACCTCACACTGGTTTTTTTTTTTTTTGCTTTATGAGGTGATAATGCCTAGAAGCACAAATTAGTTCAATGAAAAACATTTATTAAGCATTTAGAAACAGCTTCCTTAGAAAGTTTTTTCTTTTTTTTATTAAGTTTTTTCTGACATCGAATCTAAATTTGCCTTCATGCAGGTGGCAAGGGGGATGACTGGCTAGTTGGTGGTCTATGGCCTGCTGTGTAGAGCTGAACCATGTCACATATCAGGACAGCAGAGACCTAGAGGGTGGCCCATTTGTATTATCAGCTGGTACAGCTTGGGGCTGCCAGCCTGGCAGGGAGTGTAACCTCTAAGGTTCATTGTTGCTTTACAACAGGTCATCAATAAGCATTTTTTAAGCACCTGCTATATGCCAGGCACTGAAGATACAGGGACAAAGATTAAAACAATCCCTGCTCATGCGGGGCCAATGTTCTAAGGTGAGGACAACAAGGATGCCTTATATAAGCAGGTGCAACATATGTACCAAGAATTAAGACAAATAGGTACAAAGTTGTTTACTACAACGTGTAGTGTGATAGGGATGAGGGTACGAAAAGCTGGGGGTGGGGGGAATTAGGGAAGACTTCCTGCAGGAAGTGGTCCCTGAGCTACATCAGGAACATAGAGAGGGACTCTGAGGAGGAGATAAGAAGGGAGGGCATTCCAGGTATGGGGAACAGCCCATGCAAAGGCATGAAGGTGGGAGATGAAATGTCATGAATGAGATACAGAGAAAAAGGCCAGTTTGGCAGAGTGCAAGAGATGGCAGGGCATAGTGTCTAGTGAGGAGCCAGGGTTTAAAGGGCTTTCAAAATCAAACAGAGACATTTCCGTTAGATCTCAGAGGCAGTGTGGAGTAACAAAGAGAGTGCTCAAACAGGAAGACCTGGGTTCAGGTCCTGTCTCTGACACTTCCTTGTGCCTCAGTGGCTTCATCAGTAAAATGGGGCTAATAATGCCTGCACGCCCCTCCTCACACTGGGAGGCTGTGCTGTGACCCGACATGTAAAGTGCTTTGCAAACTTGAGGGAAGTTTAAGGGCACTGTTGTTACTGCTGCCTCAGGCTGTAGTGAGCTCCCCATTGCTGGAGGGGGTACCTCTGAGGTGTCTGCTTGCACTGGGATTCTGAGGCTGCTCCTGGGATTGTACTCAAGGCCCTTTGCTTCTGCCTGGGGACAATGACCATTAAGAAGGACCAACCATCCAAAGAGGTCATAAGAAAGGGAAAAGGACGCACGTGTATAAGAATGATCTGGCAGCACCTTTGGTGGTGGCCAAGAACTGGAAATCGAGGGATGCCCATCAGTTGGGGAAGGGCCAGATAAGTTGTGGTGTATGAATGTAATGGAATACTACTGTGCTATAAGAAATGATGAGCAGGCAGACTTCAGAAAAACCTGGAAAGACTCACATGGACTGATGCTGAGTGAAGTGAAGAGAACCAGGAGAACACTGTACATGGTAACAGCCACATTGTGCAATGACTAACGTTGATAGACTTAGCTCCTCTCAGCAGTGCAAGGATCTAAGACATCTCTAGAAGTCTCATGATGGAAAATGCTGTCCACATCCAGATCGAAACATACTATTTGCTCTTTTTTTCTTTCTCATGGTATTTCCCTTTTGTTCTGATTCTTCTTCTTTTTATTCTGATTCTTCTTTCACAACGTGACTAATGTGGAAATGTGTAATATGATTGTACGTGTTTAGCCTATATCAGATTGCTTGCTGTCTTGGGTGGGTGGAGGTGGGGAGGAGAAGGAGGGAGGGAGAAAAAAAATTTGGAACTCAAAATCTTATGAAAGTGAATGTTGAAAACTAACTAGCTAAATAAAAATTATACTAGGTATTGGGAAAAAATAAAATGCAAAAAACCCCAAAACAAAACAAAACAAAAAGGACCAACCAGTGGAAGCAGTAAGGGAGCAGGAGGGGCTAGGGGCCAGCACTGGCTGCCCTGTTCCGTGCCAGGCAGGGTGACTGTGGGCAGGGTGGGGCCAGGCCCTGAGCTGGAATGACTCAGCACACCACAGATGACGTTCCTAGATGATGTGTCCCAGACCTGGGTGAGAATGCTTGCTCAACCATAGCTCCTCCCCATCTTCCTCAGTTTCCCCATCTGGACCAGCTCTCCGTTCCCCAAGGGCATCAGTCTACCTGTCCGCTCTGGTCAGGGCCCTGTCTTCTCCCCGAGCACTTTTGCTGGCCAACTCCTGAGGCCAGTCAGGTTTCACTCTACTTGTCTGCTAGCCATGTCCAAGAGAAGCAGGCTCCCCACCTGGGAGGACAGGGCCGGGAGTCTCTCCCAGAGGAGTAACCAGGCTTGATGGGCTGTTTCCCCAGATTCTCCAGGCCAGCCCCCATGTTCTTGGATGACTCCTTCCGCAAGTGGGCCCGCATCCGAGACTTTGTGCCACCCTTTGGAATTAAAGGACAAGGTAGGTTGGGGGGCCTAGGCCCTGACATCTGAGGAGGGTCAGCATGACCCAAGCAGCAAGATGCTCTGTTTGAGTGCTTGGCCCCCCTGGGCCCTAAGAGCTGGGCCCTGTAGAAGGGAGCTAGGCTAGGGACGAGAGGCTGGATCTGGACATCAGGCAGTTGACAAATGTTTATTGAAGTCCCCATTTTGTGCCTGCCACTTGGGAGACAAAGGCAAACATGCAGCTGTTCCTGCCCCACTCCCCCGGAGCTTATGTTCTGAACCACAGGCAGACAAATCTGTATGTCTCTAAGTGTGTATGGAGGCTGGGCAGGGGGAGGCCTGGCAGTGCCACAGAAGGGAGGCTCGAGCCTCACAGAAAACAGGGACCTTTAGAGTGGACATGAGGAGGCGGAGCATTTGAGGCCTGGCTGGGAGACCATGGCCAAGTCTCTTTCCCTCCCTGGGAATCTCAATGGACCCTCACATTCCCCCCACCATAAAAAAAGGGACTGGGATGACATGGTCACATGTTTTCTCATGTGTGTGCATAAACGTCCCCAGGTCCAAACACACTTATACATTCAGGCCCACATGGATACTGCAGAAGCCCAGAAGGTCCTTTCACCTGCGAGTGTAGCGTGCCAGCTTTGTTCATCGTGTCCCCCTGAGCCCAGAGGGGAGGCTACCTGTCTCCTGGGGCACGATGATGACCTTCTGGGAAAGGGAGCAGCTCTGCACCATCCTGCCCACGTGCAGAAGGAAGGGCCTGGGTTCTGGAAATGGCCTGTGGGGGTGAGGCAGCCTGCCCACCTTCTGCCCTTCTGCCTTGGCTCTGGTCAGCCCAGGCTCCAGCCTGGCCTTCAACTTGGCTCCCTGGCATCCCCAGAGCTGTACCAGAGAAGGGTTTGGGGAAGGCCATGACGTGGAGGAGCTGCAGGGGTGGGATGGTATTGGGAAGGGAGGAAGGAGCTGGGAGGAAGCCCAAAGACCAGCTGCCAAGGCCAAGACTGATGAAGTACAGCCCTGCAGGCTGTGCTGGCAGCCGGGGCAGCCACCCCAGCAGGTGGGGGGATAAGGGGGGGGAAGTATGCAGATGGGTCCTTCACTGGGGCAGGTAGCCACTTCTCCAGGGATGATCCTCGCAGAAGCCCAGCTGGACATTTAGAGAGATACTAGAATACCAAGCACCTTCTCCCACCAGAGAGAGCACAAGTGTCCAGGCCCCTAGCCTCAGGCCTCAGGTCCTAGCTCCCCAGCGATCACAGCTCAAGTTATGGTTACATAATGAAGCTTCCAAGTGGTCTTCACAGAGGAGGATTTCCAGAGTCAGACACCCTTCAAAAGCAGCCTTCTCTGTCCCACAGATAATCTGATCAAAGCCATCCTGTCAGCCACCAAAGAGTACCACCTGACACCTGCCCTGGACAGGTAAGGCCACAGCTGAGCTCATGGGCCCCCTCAGGACCCTGGAGCCTGGGTCCCTGCCCGGCCTCCCCCACCTTCCTCAGGCCTCCTTGGCCCTCCGCTCTTTTCTATAAAGTCACAGACTTAGTTAGAAAGCACTTCAGAAGTCCCTTGTCCAACCCAGACCTGAGCAAGTGTTGCATACCCAACAAGAGGCTGCCTGGCCTTTCCTTAAAGGCCCTCCCTCCCTCCTTCTGGAGGCCATCCATTCCACATTAGAGCAGCATTCATGGGCCTGAGGAAGCTCTGCTTCTGTGAACCACCCAGGCTTCCACCTTCATCCTCCATGGGCTGCCCTTGCACCTGCCTTCTCAGATCTCCACTGGACGGAGAGTTCCTTATGCAGCCACACTCCTCTCCCTGCCAGTCTGCTCTGTCTTCCTCTTTCTCTTCCTTCTGCTTACTTCCCTCCCCACCTTTTTCCTCTCCACCCCTATGCCCCCATTTTGAGGCTCTCACTGGCACAATGGGACAGACACTGATACACACAGAGTAGGACCCACAGAGAGCAGCCCAGAGACATCGCCTCCTGGCCTGAGAGTCACAAGGTTCTAGGAATGTGCTGGGCCACACCTCCCCCCCATGCCCACTCCCCCTTCTGCTCCCCAGTGGACAATGTCTGAAGCTCCTGGAGCATCAGCATTAGGCTTGGCAGACAGGGAGTCTTGGGGGAGCTGGGGTGGCCATCGTGACCTGGGGCCTTGGCTCTTCCCCCCAGCCTCAGCTGCCGCCGCTGCATTATCATAGGAAATGGAGGTGTCCTTGCCAACAAGTCTTTGGGAGCCCGGATCGATGACTATGACATTGTGGTCAGGTGAGCTCTGGGCAGGGTGGGGCCCCGTTGGAAAGAGAGGGGGGCAGGGTAGTCAGGCTCCAGGTTCTGGCCGGTGGCCTCACAAGTGGTCCAAGGCCCTTTGCTTGCCGATGAGGACTGGCTGCTGGCTCCTATGGCTCTATCCTTCTTGCAGGACAAGGACGGTAGGCTACTTCTTCTGTAGCTGCTGTGGATAGGGAAACTGAGGCTGGGAGCCAGGGTGGGAAGAGGAGGGATCTGGCAGGACTACTTCGGGACCAACACTGACCGTACTTCACTAGGCTGAACTCAGCTCCGGTGAAGGGTTTTGAGAAGGATGTCGGGGGCAAGACCACCCTGCGCATCACTTACCCTGAGGGCGCCATGCAGCGGCCGGAGGAGTATGAGAAGGACTCACTCTTTGTCCTGGCTGGCTTCAAGTGGCAAGACTTCAAATGGCTCAAGTACATTGTCTACAAGGAGAAAGTGGTGAGCCTGGCGCTCGGGGTCCCTGACCGCCACCCACTGTGGCACCACCCCCTACCACTGTCCGTCCGCCCCGGAGGCCACCCAGTGAATGGGTTCCCATGAGTCTTTGCCCACTGGGAAATGACTCCTGGCCCCGAGGGTGCCCCCTGAGCTTTCCTGACCATCCCCTCAGTCGTGCTGGGTCAGGAGCCAAATGCAGTGGTGACCCAAAGGGTAGACGTACCATTCCCCAGAACGTGGTGGGAGAGAGGGGAACCTGCCGGCATCGCTGGGGCTTCAGGGGTGAGAGCCCAGCTTCTGGGGGCATGCCAGGGGAGCAGTTTAAGATTTCTAAAGTGCTGTAGAGATGGGGTGTTGTCGCTATTGCCTAAAATTTATAGAGTGCTCTAGGGTTTGTAAAGGTCTTTGTCATTTCCTTTGATCCTCACAAAAACCCTGGAAAGCAGGTGCTGTCCCATTTTACAGATGAGTTCAGTGAGGCTGGGAGAGGCTAAGTGCTCAGGGTCCCACAGCTCGTAAGTGTCTGAGGTAGGATCTGAACTCATATCTGCCTGATATGGAATCCCTCTGCTCAAGAGCCGCCTTCCCCCCGAGGCTTTCTCAGCACTGGCTGCTGGAGTCTTGCTCTCTAGGGTTACCTGCTGCAGAATGTGAGCCCTGTGCAGGCAGGCCTTGAGCTGGCGCAGGGAGCCTGGAGCCCCGGTGGTTGTTCCTGGGGCTGCAGTGAGAAGAGGTCACCGTAAAAACACCAGCAATTCTGTTCCCCTTTGTGCCTTTCATTTGGTCCCTCCAGCTCCTTCACCAGCGCCCTTGGCCTGCCCAGGCTTACTTCCCTGCAGGCCCGTTGCCTCTGCCTCTGCTTTTCGCTTTCTTGTGTGCTGATGGGAAAGGTGCCAGGATGGAGGGGGATGACGGCTTCTCTGCCCTTTATGATCTTAGAGACTTGCCCAGGGGCACGGGAATGCCAAGTTGGCTGGCTCTTTACCCAGCACAGAGCCCCTCCTCCAGGTGCCTTCCTCCCTGCTCATACACTGAGGGGCCAATGTTCTGTGCAGCCTTGTGTCTCTGGGCCTCCTGGACCTTGTCCCTGTTTTGTATCTGTTCAGTTTCTCTGGGAAATGTGATCGTGGGAGGCTACTTGGGTGCCTCCGTCCACTGCCCTAGGTGGGCTGCTCCTTCCTATAGCTGCCAGCCTTCCTCCTCCTTATCTTCATCCTGGCTTCCCTGACCTTGGCAGCCCCCTCTGCCGCAGGGCCGCTGAGATGCGGCTGTTGTCTGGCATTTGCCAAGCCCGTCCTACCTTGGACATTCACGGTGGTTTATTAGACGGGGTACCTGCCACCCGCAGCGGTGACTCATGGATAAAGGGAACACCAGCAGAAGAGGCCGAGAGGCTTTGCTCACGGTCCTGGCAGAAAGGGAGAGCCAGAGGGGCAGAGCTCGTGCTTCTGTCCCTCAAGCAACCAACGAGCATTTGTTAAGCGCCTGCTGTGCCAAGCACTGTGCCAAGTGCTTCACAAGTATTATCTCACTTGGTCCTCACGCCACCCCTGTGACTAAATGCTGTTATTATCCCCACTTTACAGTTGAGGTTAAGTGACTTGCCCAGGGTGACTAGTTAGTGACTTAATAGCTCATGTCTGAGGCTAGATTTGAACTCAGGTCTTCCTGACTCCGGGGCCAGCGCTCTACCCACTCTACCACCTAGATGCTGTGGTGGCACCGCAGAGTTATATGAAGGGGCCTGATGTGTAATAAGCCTGGACTGGCAGATTGGAGCCGGGCTCTCAAGGCCTTCATTTGCCAAATGGAGGAGTGTATCTAAATAGGCAGCTTGTGGAGTGTCAGTCTGGAGGATCAGGAGAGTGACATGGTCAGATCTGTACTGTAGGAAGAGAACTTTGACAGCCATGATGAAGATGGGTTGGAGAGGGGAGAGCCTGGAGGCAGGGAGCCCAGTTAGGAGGTCAGTGCAGTAGTCCAGGTGAGGGGTGTGTGTATGTGTGCATTTGTGTGTGTGCGCGCGCGCATATGTGTACATGTGTGTGCATACGTGTGATGTGTGGATGTACTGCACGTGTGTGTGGATGTTGCATGTGCACATGTCTGTATGTCTATAAGTATGCTGTGTGTGCATACATGTGTGTATATGCACATGTGACGGTGGATGCACTGTTTGCGTGTGGATATTGCGTGTGTGCGTATGTGTATATGTGTGCGGGGGGCGGGGGAGAGAGGGGCACAGAGATACTGAGAAAGCAGACTCCATAAGATTTGGCAGCTGATTAGATCTGGCGAGTATGTTGAGTGAAGAGTTGAGGCCGGCCTGGGGCTGTGAACCTGGGAGACCGGGAGGAAGGCAGGGAGTTCAGAAGAGAAGGGGCAGGAAGGATGAGGAGGGAGAAATGTTCATTGGATTTGGCTACTAGGAGATCATTAGTAACTTTAGAGAGAGTGGTTTCTGCTAAGTGATGAGGTCAGGCCAGACTACAGAGGGTTAAGCAGTGTATAAGAGATGAGGCAGTAGAAGTGAAGAGTATGGACAGCTTTTTCTAAGAGCTTGGCTGAGAAAGGGAGGAGAGCTTAAGGGAATTCCAAAGAGAAAGGCAGATTAGGGAAGTGAACAGGGGATCTCTGGGCCACAAATTAAATATGGGAGTGACAGACTCCTAACCAGGGATGGAGTATAGCTAAAAAGGACCGAAAAGATGGAATTTGTGAATCTAATAAAAAGACTTCCACTGGAAAAAGATGGGGAAAGGAGAAAGCTGCCCTGCCCTGGACATACTGCAGAGAGCAGTGAGAGTGCAGGAAGGTGACACCCAGAAATTTAAGAAAGGAGACACAGTCCAAGAAAGAAGCCAGCGGCCTCAAGTGTCTGTACAGAGGCACAAAGGAGAACCAATAGGAAATCTGAGGCCGGGAGGCAAATTTGATCTCCCAGTGGCTGCTGAGACTCAGGTGGGACGAGAGCCATTTACTGGGAGCGTGCACTTTACGCACAGGAAAGGGACGGGCTTTAAAATGCATGTGCGGTGAGGACAAAGGAATGCCATCTAGGGAGAAGAAATGCATACCTACGTGAGGAAGACCAGGAACCAGAGGAAGGAGGCGCAGTGGAGGGCAGTTCATAGAGAGAGAAGCAAATTGTCCTCAGAGCAGACTAGATACCACTGAGACAGAAGGAGAGAATAGATGAGGAGTCAGTCAGTCAGTAAACATTGGCTAAGTGCCAGCTGTATGCCAGGCACTGTGCTAAGCCCTGGGGGTACAAAGAAAGGCAGAAGACAGTCTCTGTCTTTTGAGGGGCTTGCGGTTTAATAGGGAGGACAACGAGCGAACAACAAAGTACAAACAAGCCATGGATAGGCTGAATTGGAGACAGTCAACAGAAGGAAGGTGCTGGCTTTAAGGCAGATGCGGAAAGGTGGGCTTTTAGCTGGGGCTTGAGGGAAGCCGGGAGGCAGACATGAGGAGGGAGAGTGTTCCAGGCATGGGAACAGCCAGAGAAAATGCCTGGAGTCAAGGGAGGGAGGAACCGCAAAGAGTCCAGTGTCACTGAATTACAGAGTGCGTGGAGGGGAGGAAGGGTAAGAAGGCTAGAAAGGTAGGGGAGGAGCTGGGTCAGGGAGAGCAGAGGAGGTGACAGGAGCCCTTGGAGCTTACTGAGTGGAGGTGGGGTGATACGTGGGATGGCACTTCAGGAAGGTCACTTTGCCAGCCAAGTGGAGGATGGTCTGGAGTGGGGCGAGACTCGAGGCAAGCAGATCCCCCAGCAGCCAGGGCAATGGTCCCGGGGTGAGGTGATGGGAGCCTGCACCAGGGTTAGGGCAGTCTCAGATGAGAGGAGGGGCATATTGGAGATGTAGTGAGGTAGAAACCATGGGCCTTGGCAGTAGGGGGTACTCCTACCCCCTGGTGGGTAAAAGTGAGGAGCCTGAGCCTGGGGGCCTGAGGATGATGGTGCCTTCCATGATGATAGGGAAGTTTGGAAGAGGGGGTGTGTTTGGAGGGAAAGACAGTGAGTTAGTTCCGTCTTGCACCTGGTGAGTTTAGAAGTCTTTGGGACATCCAGTTTGAGATAACTGACTAGTTGGACACGTGAGACTGGAGGTCAGGGGAGAGGTAGATGGGTAGATATGAGGATGATCAGCTGAAGGTGATCGTTAAAACCACGGGGGGCCGAGGAGGTCCCCAAGTGAAGTGTCCTGAAGGAGAAGGGGGAGGGCTTTGGGCAGCAGATGCCACCCTTGGCTCAGGACCATGGTAGAGCTGAGATGGGGGGCAAGGAGCAGCTCTGAGCTTCTTGGCTTGCCTGAGATCTGATTCTCAGCAACTAGGAAGAATGTTTGCTGAAGCTTACAATGATAGGAATCTTGGGAGGAAGTGTTTAGTGTGTGTGTGTGCGTGTGTGTTTCTCTTCCCACAAACCCAGGGCTAGTCTGGATGTGCCCTGGATTGGGGGAGAGTGGATTGGATTGGGGAGAGTCAGAGGAAGGACAGCTGGGACCCCCCCCCACTAGAAGTATCAGCAGAAGTCAGCCCTTGGGGACCTTGGGGAGTGCTTGGGAATGAAATGCTGAAGATACAAAGAGAAATGATCTTGCTGAAGATTGCTGTCTAAAAAGCCTGATGTGGCAGCATGGGGAGCCCTGATTTCCCAAAGGCGGAAGCAAGCCAGAGAAAAGGCAGGCCACGAAGAGGGCGTTGATGAGCATGGGAACGGCCAGGATAGTCCTTGGGAACAATCCACTAATAACCTCCAGTTGTGGCAGCGGGGCGCTGGCTCTGTGTTATCTCACTGTGGCATCGGGGGGGCTCACAGGATCTTGGCCTGGTGGGGAGGGTCCTCAGCACTCACAACAGTGCTCATTGCTCTGCAGCACGGCTTAGGAAGGACGTTGAGAAGCCAGTGAGGGAGGGTCCAGAGGAGGGCACCCACAATAGAGTCCGTGGGGAGATTGAAGGAGGTGGAGAAGGGAAGACCAGGGGAACAGGAG